AGAGTCTTATTCATTTGATATAATTGTATTGTTGAATGTCTTGGATATCTTGAATTGAAGATTGTTGTTGACTATGTTTATAATTTTCATTAGTGGTAAGCCATTGATCAGGAAGAGTAATGTTTTTCCATTCAATCATTTGGGGAACATTAATATGAGATTCATTGTTACTACTTTGAATTAACAGAGTTTTATCTTTTGGACTTTTGTGTAAGGCTTGAACATTTAAATTTGTTTTCATGCATTTATAATGGACACGATAGATAAGGGCAATATTATGGGTTTTTTCTTTCATATTAGTAAATGAACCATTTAATTGAATATTTAAAGTTAATGCATCTAATATGTGTGGATCTCTAAGACTGAGTGTGAAATCAGGAAAACAATTAAAATGAATAGGTCCTTTGTGAAGACCGATTTCCACCATACCCATTAAACTATCATTATAATCAAGAAAACGAGCATCTCTTAAACATAATAAAAAGAAGTATTTTTACCTTGTGGAGTTAATGGTTTGATTCCAACTTGAATTAATCCTAAATGAATAAAATTGTGACCAGTTTTTAAATGACGTTTAATAGTGTTAGCATCAAATAAGTGACAGGTTTCTCTAGGCTTTTCTAAAGCATAAACTTGTTCTAATGTTTTAACATGCAGATTAACATTAAAAGCAGATTGTAAAAACGTAGTTTTATAAATCTCTTTAATTGATAATTTTGGTATATTCCAACTTAAATCCAGTTTATCATTTTGTATTTCTAATTCTTCTTCATTAATTACTAATCCTTGATTAGGTATAGAGGGCAAAGTTGTTGACCTAGAACTGACTAACCAAAGGACTGACCAAGGACAAGGACGAAGATTGGGTGGCTAGTAACAAAGTGGAAAACACAGATATAATTTTGACAAACTAAGATGACTGGAAACAGATTAACAGACAGAAAATAGAGTTGACTCAATAGAAGTAGCAAAGAATATAAGAAAATTTTAATTCAAAACTCTTTTTCAAGGGTCTCCTCTTGTGAGGAATTCCATTAAGAGCTTGATGAAATTATTGTGAAAGTCTTCTCCTATTTATAAGAAAAAAATTCTTTCAAAAAGACTCAAGAAATCTATGTGGGATTCAATCAAATGTATTGGAAGGAATATTGAAATTTTGATATCCCACCAAAATTTTGCTCTCCTTTCAATCAAATTATTTGAATTAAAATCATATGGAGGGAATATTAAATATTTGATTTCATCTTCCAAAATTGAAATTAATAATATTTTAAAATATATTATTATATTTTTCAGTAAAAAAAATATTAGGACAAATATTTAAAATAATTTAATATTTTTAATTTATAATTTTATTACTTATATTTTTATTTAAATATAATTTTAATATATTTATTACGTCACGATTCGATTCTGGTTCAACCCGACGGTTGAACCGGTGACCAGTCCACCTGATCCCTTTTTCAATTCGCTCACCAGTCCAGTTTTTAAAACATTGATCAAAACAATAGATTGCTGAGGCAATTAGATTGCACAATTTTTTTTATGGATGCACGGGTTTATAGGGATACACCAAAAGATGCATGAAATTTATATGGGACACTACAGGAAAATGACGATTTAACGGCGTTTAATTAACGACGTTTTATTAAATGTCACTTTTTTGATAATTAACGGCGTTTTTTAAACGTCGCCTTTGTTGTTAGGTAAAACGGTACCGTTTTGTAAATAGAAGACGTTTAAAAAGCGCCTCCAAACCCTGTCTCTCTCCACACCCTCTTCCCTGTCTCTCTTCACACCCTCTTCCATCTCCCTAAACTTTTATTTTGAAAGCCCTATTTTGAGCACCGCCGTCTCCTTCATACTCACTCAAATCTCTCACTCACTCGTCTCTCTCTCTCTCTCGATTCTTCTTCGGTTCAGTCATTCTTCTTCGATTCTTCTTCAGTTCGGCGATCCATCTCGGGATTGCGATTTCGAAGTTCGATTTTGAGCATAGATCAGTGATTCATCTCCATGGATTTGGAACTCTTCGTCTTCTTCAATCAGAGGTTAGTTGCTCTCCCTTTCTCTCACTCAAATCTCTCTCGATTCTTCTTCAGTTCGTTGATTATTCTTCAGTTCAGTGATTCATCTCAGATTGCGATTTCGAAGTTTGATTTTGAGCATAGGTCCGTGATTTGTCTCCGTGGATTTGGAACTCTTCATCTTCTTAATTTTCAAATGCAACCAAACATAGTCAGATGAAAAGAGCATTAATATTTTTGTGCAAAATATTTTTGCCTAAAATATATTTTCCGGGGTAAGAAATATTTTAGATGAAACAAATGGAGCCTCAAAAGGAAAAAAGAAGAAAGAAACAGAGGCAATAACACAACATTATGGTCTTTTAAAAAATCTGGCCTTGTTAACTCAAATTCTTGAAACCAAATTCTGAAGACAACAAACGAAAAGCAAAATTTTGATCTTTCTATGCATTGTATAATTCTGAGAAATATTTCTACTTGTTCTCCCAAAATTTTGATCTTTCTATGCATTGTATAATTCTGAGAAATATTTCTACTTGTTCTCCCAAAATTTTGATCTTTCTATGCATTGTATAATTCTGAGAAATATTTCTACTTGTTCTCCCAAAATTTTGATCTTTCTATGCATTGTATAATTCTGAGAAATATTTCTACTTGTTCTCCCAAAATTTTGATCTTTCTATGCATTGTAGAACTAGTGTTCTTGTCATTTAATAGTTACCTTCTTTTTTTTCTTTTCTTTTCTTTTTTTTTTTTTGTAATTTTCTTTTCATATTTCTTTATGTGTGGATTGAGAGAAATCATTTGAATTGATTAGAAATCTCTTCTTTATGATGGCATTTTTAGCATTTATGTTATTCTCTTCTCAATCTTCTCATGGATCAAAAGGAAATCTAATATTCAGTAGAAAGCAATAGATAAGACTATGGAATGGTCATAGCAATGTTACAAAAATTGAATACATAATTATATATATAAAAACATTAAATTAAATATCATACTTGCTTAACAATAGAAATGTACAAGCTATATTAAAATGCAATACACATTGAAGATGATGCATATTGCTGACTAAAGTTTTGAAAAAAATCCATACAAGTAATATATAAGTTGGGCTGCATTTAGGAGCTTTTGCAAGTTTGGCACCTTAAAATACCAATGCATAAGGTGGAAATAGGAACTGGCAATATAAGTTCCTTTTTCTTCACTTTAAAAGAAGAAAAACTCACTTCTCATTCCACCAATTGTGTCTTTTTCTTTTCCTGGATTTTAATGTACTTGTTGATGGACTTATTTCATCCATTGACATATCATAGCCGAATGGCTTGGGTATTAGAACTGTGCATTGAAGTTGGTTTGTTGCGTTTTTTACATATTAATGGGATTGTAATAGGCATGGTGGACCCTTTTTTGAATGAGGTTATTGTTTCATTATTGTTGAGTGACTTCCATATTTGTTAATTTTCTAGAAAGGTTCATGCACCATTTTCTTTATTTCATGTAGTAATAATCCGAATTTTATTGATGACATTCCAGTTGTATCGTGACCTTTAAAAACCATGGTTGTGCCTCTAATTCATGTTGATTTAGAGTCAGAGTGGGCTACTCTGCACCCAATTCTCTGAATTGATCCTCCGTCTATGACTCTGTATAGAGAGGCACATGCACACTTTCCAATCTATTTCTTTTTTTTTGTGGCTCTGTTATTGTTCTACAGGGGTTTGTTTATCTTCCTACAATCCTACATCAACTTAGAGTTTCCTTCACCAACATTTTTGGCATAAGCTTAGATTTTCCTTCACCAACATATATGATTGTATCGCCAATACCAATACGATTATTGGGTTATTGTGAAATCGCATTATGATTTGGCTAGCATCTTTCCCATATAATAAATCTTCCTCTCATCATACTTTCTACTATTGTTGCAGTTAATTTTATACTTCTTTTCACTATTATTTTGTTATAGGTCTTTTTTCTGTTCATGTTTTGCATGGTACAAACTTTAGTTGAAGAAGTTTGAATTAGTGATGTTTTCTTGTATCAAAAAAGAATCTTGTGTCTTAACTTGTGCTATATCTTGATATGTTTCTTTCATGTAGACGGTTGGAGCAGAAGCATTGAGGATTGGTGTAAATGGGCCATGGGTCACTAAATCATACCTTGAAATGATTCTTGAAAGTAGAGGTTGAGAAACGGCATAATTTTGTTATTGTTTTTACCCCATCTGTATTCCATACAATTGTTTGGTTCCTTTCGCCTTTCGTCTTTCATATCAGTTATTCTCTTTTCAATTAATCCCCATCTCACTTGCAGGTGTACCACGCCTTAATACACCACCACTTTTGTCTAATACATCTACCACTATTGTTCAAGAAAGGTTGATTACTGCACCAAAGCCTCTTCGAATTGCTTCGAACCTTGTGTTTGAAGATTTATCTCAGCCATGGACTCAATCGCCAACAAAATCCCAAATGGAACCTGTACTAGCAACTTGGCATTTTGTCTCACCAGATCCTCCACTTGCTGATGGCTCTGTCATTGGTATGTTTTCTCAACCAGTAGAAAGTAAAATTTCTCATGCCAGCATTATTGTTAAGTGAACTTTGCCTTGGGTGTGTTATCTATTCTTCATTTATCTTGACTCCTTTCATGAAACAGCTACAGATCCTTCTTCTTTCAGGGATAGCCTGCAGCTTGCTCCAATGCCTGATTCATATGACTTGGATAGGGGATTGCTTCTTGCTGTTCAAGCAATACAGGTAAGGGTTATTAGATAAGTAGGGAGGAAAACTTTTAGACTTTGGAGCTTCAAGTCTATGGGAGTCTTTTGTCTTTTAGTCAGATCCAAACTTCAGGACTGTCTTTTATTTCAGGCTTTGTTGAAGAATAAAGGTCTTCCAGTTATAGTTGGAATTGGTAATCTCTCTCTCTCTCTCTCAAACTGGTTTGAATGCGATTGCCAAAAAAACCGACTGTTTTTGACTTTTTAGCTAAGACTTGAGAAGAAAAATTATATAGTGCTCTTGGGACAAATATATATGGTATCCTAATTTGTTTTACTAGATTAAAGTAAGGGGGAATTACTTGACAGTGGGGTAGAGAAAAAAAAATTGCAAAAATATGAAAGGTGAATCTGTGGTAGGGTGCAAGCGAAAAACTGTGGAGGTGCAAACTTGCACCCCTCTATATTTGTGTATTTTCTTTTTATCTATCTAACTGTTAAGTAATTCCCCTCTATATTTGGGTTGGGGAGCCTCAGGTTTATCTACACTTGATACTATTTGGTATTTACAATCCCAATTAGTTACATATGTTTAATGGTTGGTTTGTTACTTCTTCTTTTTTTCTTTTCTTTTTTTTATCACTTTTTTGAATTTGCAGTCACTTCTGATACAAGGAAAAGGACAGTTCAATTGCTCTACTCCTGGTATACAAGCCGATCTTTGTAATGCTACAAATCCTGAATGCTCTCCTTATGTTCTCAGGGTTATTCCTGGAAAAACATACTGACTACGGATTGGTAGCTTAACTGCTTTAGCAGCTCTCAGTTTCGAAATAGAGGTAATTTATTTTTTTAACATAGATTTGAACAACCACATTCTAAACCATTTCTTTTTTGCCGATCTTTGTTTCCTTGTTTTGCAATATCATAGATTTGACTTCTTTTTTATATTTTTGGCAGGCCACACCTTTACTTCTGACAGTGGCAGTTATTGAGCTCAGTGATATTGCATTCACAATGGGTTCCCTTTGTCCCTGTCCATGTTAGGTGTATACATTCAAAGAGCTTGAGGATTTTGTAGTTAGTATTTTAGTGATAATTTGATGCCCATTTTCAGATTGACTCTATACCAGCAGTTTTTGGTGTTACTCGAGACCCTTCCGTAGTTTTCACATCTAATTTCTTTGCCATCTTAGGTAACTCTTGGTCTTCATTCTTCTGATATCTCTCAAAAGTAATTATAACTCTTGCGTGTACACCACTTAGCTACTTTCTACCTGTGAGCATGCTTTACTTTTGACATTATTCTACAAAATACGTAATCTGGAAACCTTTTGAAACTGGTTTTTTCAATTCTATTTCACCAATTTATATTTACTTGCTTTTGTCTTCAATTATATGTTACTATTGGGGAAAACATGTTTGTTATTTTTCTTGTTTTCGGTGATAAATGTGGTTACTTGCATGTATGTAAATAAATATATCTGTTAAGACCTTAAGTGAGGTAACTAGTGTTCAAAGGGTGTTGTCTATTTAATTGCAGTAGATGTCTGTAGAACCTGCTGGTACACTTCAGAAATGTGTGATCTTTTCTTTTAGTGGGCTTGAAATTTATTTTGCTAGTTTTTTCTTTTGTTCATGCGATGACAGATGGCTTGTTAAGCTTTTTGTAGCAAGCTATGCTATTACGTATGAGTGGCTATGTAGTGTCAGTGTCGTGTATTGCTTCTTATCAAACTGTGTTGTGCTGTGCTTATGGTGACATAATTTATGCGGCTGTTAAACTAATGAATTATACAAGTTTACTGAATGTTATGATACATGCGGGACATGATCCGATTAATTATAGTATTTGTTTCATTTCAGGACACACAAAATGTGTATACTGGATAGTTTCTATCATTTCTCAATTTTTGGTTAAGCATTATACTCTTGGCGTTGGGCAGGTGTTTCAATTTGTGTGGCGGATGTTTCAATCTGTGTTTGTTTCTAAAATTTTAGGTTGTAGCATGTGTTAGCTTCTTTTTTGGGGGGATAAGTGCAGTGGTTTGTGTTAGATTACAATTAGTGTTTAATATGTCTTCTTGTTATCTTTGTCCCTTTCAGCCAATGGAAATTTATGTGGATGATGAGGCCAAACTGACTATTCACGGTCTAGTACAGGTATTTGTAATTTTTGTAGTAGAGCCTCAATGATTTGTATTTGCTTAAACACTCACTATTACTTCTATGTTTTTTCCCATCAGCGTTATATTAAACTGAGTGAGCTTGAGAAAAACCGCAAACTTAATGACCAGAAGTTGCAAAAGATGGAGCTGATGTTTTGCTGAATGATGCAAGTGAAGAGCTAAATGACGATCTAATTTCAGATGTTTTGTTGATGTTTTTAATATTATAAGTCATATTAGTGTGCTTTCTATTCCTTTTTTAATTTTTTTGGGCAAATTACACTTCTTGACCATTTTGATTTTAATTGATGTATTTAAAGTCTGAATTATTGCTATTCTTAAGTATGCAATGCATTGTTTCTTATTTTTAATTTTGTTTTCAAGCTTAGTTTATTTATTATTTTAATAAACATCAATTATTAGTTTGACAGGTATTTTTTTTGTTCAACCATGTAAAATTAACAAAATTTAAAAATTAAAAAAAAGGCTATGGCGGCGTTTAAAAAACGTCACTATATCCCACCCCAACGGCTAGATTTTAAAAATGTATAAATGTCTATGACGGCGTTTTCAAAAACGTCGCTAAATGTCATAATGACGTCATATTACAGTTAGTAGGACATTTGGCGGTGTTTTTTACTAATATAACGACGTTTTTCAAACGTAATAAAGTTATAGCGACGGCCGCGTCATCGGTGTTTGGTGCTAAACGTCATAAAAAGAATTAGCGACGTTTTTAGTACTTTTAGCGGCGTTTTTTAAACGCCGCTAAAAGTGAATTTTCCAGCAGTGGGAATATATTCATTTGGATGTACATTTTGGAAATCTACTGTGACTTTATCAGTTATTTGATTTTATCCACGTAATTGAGTTGTTACTGCATCACAAATTTAATAAAATGTGGCATTATTCGATTTCACCCAAGTCATGTTACTTACATACATGAACAACAAAAATTAAAATATGACTGCTTATATATTTCTGTATGCGATAATGGAGTTGAATATTTTTATTTTCTTGTAATGGTCACCTATAGTAACATAATAGAAAAAGATTGGTGGACGGTATCCTCAAGAAAGGGGATTGGAGGTGAACTTATTAGTTAGTTTAAGATAGCGTTACGTGACACTTTTTATGTATTGTGATTGATGCAGAGAATGAGATTCTTGATTTTGTGTTAGGTGATTGAGAAAGATGAAAGAACATGAGAATCTGTGATTGACTTGAGGTATAGTCACGTGGTGCTCCAGGACTAATCAATAAATTTTCAGACTAGAGGGTAACAGAAAAGGGACTTGTGTCACAGAGAGAGAGAGAGAGAGAGAGAGAGAGAGAGAGAGAGAGAGGAGAATTTTACAATACACACTTCATACTATATTATGCACTTTTAGTTACACCATTTTCTTCCTTAATTATGACATTATTGTGTGATATTTGATTATGCTTTGTGCAGGGCCGGCCCTGAGTTATTAGGGGCCTAAGGCGAATTTTTTAAATTGGGCCCTTTATGTATCATTACTTTAAAAAAAAATTGTTTGGATAAATCAAAAAGGATAAAAATTTATTTCTATTGCATTACAATTTAACAAAATTTAGATAACAAATACATATATATATATATATATATATATATATAATAGTTGAACTTCAATTAGTTGAATCGAATCTTTATTTTTTAGCTTACCAATGCTATAAGAACTAAAATTAATTGGGGGTAAGGATGAGAATTTTCGACACAACTCAAGCAATATATAAAATTAGTAAGTTAGGGTTGACTATTTTTCAATATGAATTTAAGTATGACACGACTCAATAATATGAATTATTAGTTATATATTTTAATGTTCACTAAGGGATGCCATGATATTTTTTTAATCTTTTATTTAATTCCATCTAACTGAATAAAAAATTATGTAAAATAATAATTAAGGCTAATATCTTTTTTTCATTTAAGATATGTATTTTTTTGTTACCTATTTTAGAGTCAATCTAATAAAAAATATATAGTAATAAGGTACAACTTTTTTAATTAGAAAAATGCAATTGAATTAAAATCAAACATTCTATGAATAATTTCATTTAGTAGAAATAAATTTTATAAAATTCAACTTATGGGAAAAATTTTAATCTCTTCATACACTTGCTAAATTATTTTTAACTAAAAGTAAAAATTTTCACATTAAATATCAATCGGACACGAATCAAAATAACACCACACAACAACATGAAAATAATTGAATTGAACTAATATTGAAGTAATTATGAAATAACATGACATGATACACTCCCCTAATTTGGGGTCCTAAATTTTGTTCAAAATTGGGGGCCCGAGGCGACCGCCTTAGTGGCCTCACCTCAGGGCCGGCCCTGGCTTTGTGTAGTGTTTGATTATGATTATTTTATTATTTAAATTATGACTCAGAAAATATAAAGTTATATTATTTTTTTATCTAACGCCCTCGAAATAATTACAATGTGCCCATCTCATAATAGCCGGTAAGTAGTAACATACATGAATTGTTAAGTTTTCATTAATCAGAGTTTGGTATACAACTAGTGACACGTGCGATATACATTCATAAACAGTACATCCTGAATCTATAACATGTCTTACAAGATTGAAAAAGGAAATGAAAGCTAAACACATAATCGTATGCCCTAAAGGCTTACACATTTTCAAGTCAATGCTTGGGTACATCAAAAGTGAGTCTTAAGCTCAATACAAATAAAGTCCTAGGCTTGTACAAAAGTGAATACAAAATAAATAAACTGAGCCTTTAGCTCCGCAGTTCTCCCAAGCTAAGTCATTGGTGGAGACATATCACCAGTACCTGAAAATAGTTTTTCCCAAATAGGGTGAGTCAAAGCCCAGTAGAAATAATCTAACACCATATATAAATCTTAATGAAGATATAAGGGTGAAATGCATATGCAATGTTTATATCAAAACGGTTTACATTTCTTTCTCAAAATTATGCCAAGCTCAATTTATATCACAATTCTCAAATCATAACCTTTACCATTGGAAACAAGGGAGGATTCTCAAACCGATACAACCTTTAACGAATATTTCATCCGCGAGAAACTGTCAAACGGCACCCATGTAAACGTAGCCTATATAAGCGCTACTATTGCTATTTTATGAATATTTCGTCTGTGGGAATTCGACACCCATGCATACGCGTGTTTTTCGAGATTTTCACCCTAGACACATGCCAACTTAATTTGGCGATACACACCTCTTTACAACATTCATCCATTTTTTTTTTAAAATTCATATACATATGCAATGTATTAAATGAGCAACAATGTTCAATGTACATGGATGAGAAATTAGTTTAAATTCATCTAATCCTCATGCAATTTTTGCAATAATCATAATTATCCTCCACCGATAGCCCAAAACAGATATTTTTAAATAGGTATACAACCTCCAATACAAATAAACTTTCTAAAATTTAAGATGTGAGCGATAATATATATCCAACTCCACCATCCACATCAATATCCATCCAATTTCACATTTCCAATATTAATTCCATTTATTTATACAAAATAAATATTTAAGACATTTAGGGCAAAATTCTTTTTCCTTCCAAAATCCATTTCAAGTATGAAATCAATACTTTAATCACAAGTCATCCTCATTTCTACTCCCATAACCATTTTTCATACATCCATTTGAAACCCCTCCTTTGATTTTAAACTAAAATCCTTGGTTTGTTCAAAATCTCAATATTGTTTTATAAAAATAAACAGTTAAGTTAAAAATCATAAAAGAGTGTAAAAAATTCCTATCTCGAAGCTAGGAGACCAAGGAGAGGGAGAAGAAACCTTAAGGAAGCCGAAACTTAACTCTATTCGGATGAAAATGAAACTTTAGGTGAGCTCTACCTTTTTAACAAAGGGAGTAGGGTAGAGAAATGGGTAGACCTTGGTGTATTTGTAGAGAGAGAGCAAGTTCTAGATAGGGGAGCTCTAAATCTAGGGTTTTGAAATGTTTTAGAGAGAGAGAGAGATGGAAAAGTG